CTCTTGCCAGCTCTCCCGCCTCATGCAATTTCATACCTAAGGAGTCACTTATATTTTGTGCCCATCTTCATGTTGGTCAGCCCCTGCCCCTCCTTCCTGGCACCATGCCTTCTGCTATAATGTTTTTCCAATCCGTCGTGGCGCTTGATATGACCAAAATATTTCAGCTTCCAAGACAGGATGCTGTTTATTAGCCAATCTTCCTTGGTGTTCAGATCTTTCAAGATGTCAGTATTTCTCCTCTTCTTTGTCCAAGGCATTCTGAGAACCTTTCTATAGCATTTGAGCTCAAAAGCCCCTATTCTCTTTCTCAAGGACTGGGAGATGGTCCAGTACTAACCAGTGAATAAAATAACCTGTGCTTATCTTCCCATGATGCATAGATACTGTTGATCCAAAATACATCCAACACTGATGCAGCAACACTGTCTGGTGTGTTCTTCCTTTTGGTGGCCAGTCAACATCCGTGGAACCAACACATTTTCAGTATTGCAGTTTTTTTTAAAAACAACCATTTAAACTGTCTTAACTGACACATCCAATTATTTTGCTAACAAACATATGCTTCGACAATGGGTCACCTGTACTGCTGAATCAATTTTAGTGATGTTTTTTTTTTGCTGCAACAATATGCTCTTGAACTGGTGGCCATGGAAGATCTGTTGTGAATTCACGTTCTTCCTAAAAAATGTGTGCCCAGTCTGTCTCTGATGTCTTTGACACATTTATTTATGTACTTTTCCAGTAAATTTCCACTGGTAGATATCCTTCAAATGAAAGAAACTGATTACAGTTCCTTCAACTTCTTTGGATCAACCCCAACAATTTTCTCAATGGTCAGAAACTATGCATCATGGGACAAAAGGCATATGTTCTTTTATTCACTGGTCAGTATCTATGACATGACTATGATATGATCATGTTCTGCAGATGCAATTAGGTAACTTTCATTGTTCTTATTCTTCTTCGATCCTTCTGTCAGAAAACTTATATCAGGAAGCCGGTAGCCTTTATGAAAGCTATCGTGCAATCCATATCCTCTCGTGTACCATACAGTTTTGTCTTCATTTTGTTTTAAAAGGCTAGATTGTGTCCCTGTTGTCAGCATACAGTTGACAGTGTTGGAGCACATGCTCAGCATTTTCGGGTGCCACGCTGCAGGGACACGTCTTTGTGTTTCCTACACCAAAAAATTTGAACAAATGTTGAGGAAGTCTGTTATGCCCAGTCCTTAGTCTGAATATGTTATACATGGGAGTAGTTGTGTAGGCAGAGCTCAGCACACTGCTTTGTAATGTATTTTGAGACAGCCCTGGCTCAAAGTCATTGGCATTAGCATCCAGCATTTATAACAGCAAACTACTTCAGTGCAGACTGCTTAACTCTTTGAGTCCCAGGGGGTTTAGCATCACAGGCCCAATGGGTAGTAAAGATAGACTAAAATCGACACATCATGCGTTCATTGGGCTTCGAGGTAAGACCTATGAATGCATGATGCATTCCCTGGGACTCAAAGAGTTAAGGCAATCTCTGCCTTTGGCAAATTTCTGTTGTGAAGAACAATCTGTTTATCCTCAGCAATTATTCTTGCCTGAACTCTTATCTGGATAGAAGGAATTTCTGATAAGAAGAACCATTTCTTGGGTTCCTGGTGAATTATCCTTATCGGGTCTGTACTGAATGTAGGTAATGTTAGACAAAGTGTCTAGTGGGATTGCTGCAGTCACGATTTCCAATTTATTTCTCAACAGCCACCACCGTAGCTAGTCATAAAGGTCCTCCATAAGTAAAATCTAGATGTTTTCAAGGTCCTTTGGGAGCAATAGAAGAGTGTAGAGATACAAATAAATCACTGCAGTCTGAAGAGAATGGTGCAGTGAGGATCTGACCGACACTCGAAAGTGAAGGAACATGCAGATGGACATTCAATCAGATTACTACAGGTACTGTCATAACAAAACTCTGTGTTGGCTGCTGAAGAGGAGAACTGAGCGCTTATGGGAATATCCCAAGCACTGTAATGTTGGTTCTAAAATCAACTCATTCAAGTTAAAGTATATGCGTGAATAACATGTGATTAACAACATTATTTTGAAGTAAACCATACAACTCATTGAACTAAAAATTAATCTAACTTGGAAAAAAGGTATAGATAACATCAAAAGTATGCATAGAATTCTTTTTTTTTAACTGACTACATTTACTTTTCAACCTATTTATCATTATAGTAAAAATCAAAAGGAAGACACAATGGCTGTAGTAAAATCCCAAGTAAGGCACACAATAAAGTATGTATATAGTCAATGAATCTTGTGACAGAAACATACTCATATAAAACCCATCAACTATCTGCAGCTTGTCGCAGTTGTCCCATTATTTTTGCCAAGTGGTGACAGTGTATCATAGAACCTTCTTCTTCTTCTTGGCTTTCACTGGTTATAAACTTGGAGGAAAGTTCTGATTGTTCATCCATTTCTCAAATTTGGTCCTGTTCCAGAAATTGAGTTTTGCATGCAAATCCTTTCAGAGATCTGGTTTAGCTGTATACATATTGTTGGTTCCTCACCTGTTAGGCAGATGTACTCTGACTTCAAAGGAAACACCCCTAATTAGTCACCTGTTATGACATGCTTGTTGGGGGAGGGGGGAAGAGAAGGTGAGTCTATCCACTCCCAGCCCCAACCTCCCAAATGGAGCCCCAGAACCGACACAAGTATATTACAGAACCAACATTGTATATTTTATCAACATCATCATATTGCTTCTTCCTTTAGTGCTTACTTGATTTCATTCATAAGAATAGCTGTTCAGAGTCAATAATAAATATTTGTTAAAGGGATTTCTTCAGCAGATAATACCTTTTGGTTGTAAAGCATTAGGCTATCATAGCACTTCAGGTTATGAGTTATCTGGTAGGGTGCCATTCTTTATTGGGTTTTCTTTCCAAATTCAAGAAAATACCAGAAATTATCAGGTCTGAAAATTAGATCACAAATGAAGAACTGAGGAGGAAAACAGAATGTGCATCACTGGCGAATGTTAACAAAGTAAGACGATGAAGATGGCTTGGACATGTTTGCAGAATTCCTTGTGACACTCTGGCATAAACAGCTCTCGGGTGGACAGCAGATGGGAAAGGAAATGTTGACGGTCTAAGGAAACCTGGAGAAGGTCAATAAAACGGGAAATGAAGGAATGTAAACTGACATGGGATACCATGGGCAGAAAAGCAGCAGACTGGCAGCAATGGAGATCACTTGTGAATGCCTTATGTGTCAACAGCAACATGAAGAGGACATAGATAGATCAGGTCTGAATAATTATTTTTTTAGGCTGAGTTGACTCTGTTCAGAAAAATCATCCCACCTCTAGGGATTAAACCCAGATCAATTTCTCAGCAAGTGACTTACTTCTTCTTTCTTCTTCGTGTTCACCAGCTGTACACTCTAGCGGAAAGTTCTGGTTGCTCATCCATTACTGAACTGCAGTCCTGCTCCAGGACCTGAGTGTTGCGTGTGCATCAGTTTTACAGATCTCATTCTCTTGAATACAGACTGTTGGTTCCTTGCCTCTTCGGCAGATGCACTCCGACTTCAAAGGAAGCTCCCCAATTAGTCGACTCTTACGAAATGCTTTTGGGGAGGCAGTGGGTCTATTCTCGTTTTCCCCACAATGGGGCCCCGGAACCCACACGGGGGAGTAACTTACTTACTTACTTTGTAGTTCCTCTTCTACCTTGGGGTGTAGAGGTTTGCCAAAGAGATCGCTAGACGTCTCTATCTGCAGTTTTCTTTCTAGCTTTGTTCCATTCCATTCATCTGTCAGTTAGGGACTCAGCAAGTAACTTACTTACTCCTCTTCTACCTTCCGGTGTAGAGGTTTGACAGAGAGATCACCAGATGTTTCTATCTGCACTTTTCTTTCTGGCTTTGTTCCATTTCAGTCATCTGTCAGTTAGGGACTCAGCAAGTAAGCGGATATTAAATAAAATCACATCTGGTACCAATTTTACGGAAACTACCCGGACTCTAGATCTGTACTGGTCAGTATAGATTCTGCCTCATGTAAGGGTTCACTAGTGATCACTTGTCTCAACAGTAAAGTAAGGAGAGAGGATCACCTCCACTGAACAGATTTTATCCCATATAGTTCAGTCTCTCTCCGCAGAATGGCCAGCTGTCTGTGGAGAGTGTCCCACAGAGCATGAATATAGCTCCAGCGACGATACTCAGGGATTTCCTGAACTGAACCGTGCCACCGTGCAAGGAGCTTACCTGTCTCTACCTTTCTCAACATGCTCTGTGAGTCAGTTGCAGCCACGACATGTGAGTGCAGTTGGTTCTCAAGCCAGCATAAGGTTGCAGTGGCCATCTCCACCTGCATTCTCAAACTAGATGTTGTTATATCCTCTGGGTTGGATTAAAAATATGGTGCTAGCACTACATACTCAAAATGCTTCAACATTAATCATTTCCAGACCTGGCATCTTCACAGATCTCGGTCTTTGGTGTTCTGGATCAATTCTACTGATGATATTCCTCCATGCCCCTGTCTTAAGCCGTTCACCATCATTCTCTCTTGGCCTGCCTCTGCCTCTTTTGTCAGTGATCTTTCCAGTCATCATGATATTTTCCAGTGCTCCTTTTCTCATTACATGACAAAAAGAACTTTGTCTCCTTCTCCTTGTTTTATATAATGATCTACTTTCATTTGACATTTCCAGGCAATATTGTTAGTTATTCTGGCAGTCCAGGTTCACTGAATGAAATCTGTGACTCCATATAACAAGACTACATTAAAAAAACACCATAAAAATCATTACATGTCTGATCAAATCATTGAGCCAGTCAGAAAATCCCCCTTCAGCTGACATCAAATATCCATAAACTCATCTTAAAACCCAGCATTTGGATTTCACTTAACCTTGATTACAAATTATATTCAGTATAAATTGTCACCTAATAATTTCTCCATCACAGTGATATTGAACAAAGTTACTTTCATACAGTATTTTTCCTTCCAATATCTGGACCGTAATCAGTTATTCTAATTCCCAAGGTTTCAAAATCCAAATCAAGCATCTCTTCTTCAGTAACATCCGTTCTGTTGCTGTACAACTCCCTCATGGCACTGTTTGTAGCCTCGTCTTCAAACTGTGACTGTCCAAACACTTCATCATAGTAATACTCTTCTCTTCCTTCTTGGGGATCAGTCACATTCTCTATGTCGTCAATGCTGAACCTGTCATCAGACTGACCTTCTGGTTTAGGTCTAGTGTCATTTTCCATCACCTCATGTTCTTCCAGGACATGCCGACTGCTGGATGATGAGCGCCTTGACCGTGTCATGGGTTGGAAGCAGGGCCACTTGTTGAGTTTTCTGCAAACAAACATGGTATTGGGCATAATGAGAAAGTCTGAATTAGTGACGATTTAAAAAAAAATTTTTTTAATTAAAGTTAGTTACCTACCTAACAAAACAACAAGAGAAAGGATTACAAATACTACCAGAGATAAAGCTGGAATAAGACTGTCTAAATTATGTTGACAAAGAATGAACTGGTTTGACCATCTAATGAGAATGCAGCCAAACCAAATTGCATATGAAACTTTTTACAGCAGAGCATCTAGGAGGAAGGCAAGGGAAAGACCAAGAAAGAGATGGATAAATGGTGTAGCTGAAACCTGTTTAAAAAATATTATCAAATCCATCATCCAAGCCACCCAAGCAGCCAAGACAAATACAGAAAAACCATGATACCGAGACAACAATAGATGAAAGAATAAGAAGTCTATCCTTTTACAAGACACCAGGATTTCCAGTTTAGAAATGGCGCTGCCAAGAGGTTTTTCCAGCAACATGATTTTTTTTTTTTTAAATTTACATTTCATCAGTTTTTTTTTAAAAATAACAAATTCATTTGTGTTTAATATTTTGTTATTCGTAGAAACTAAGTATTCTGTGGTTTAGGTGTGTTATAATGAAATTGTTTCTGACAAACAGCTGTGGTGGCTGTGTGTCCTAATATCCACGCTCCCATTATAAATATGGGAGTCCACGAGCAAAATAAGGTGCTAAAGTCGGAGGCGCACCACAGCAATCAGGATGCCACGCAATAGGGAATATATATCTGTTAACAAGTATGATTCTCATCATGTGACCCACTCACGTATACGTGAGACATCTTACCTGCCTACGTCTAGTAGAAATAGACCAGTTACAAATACTGGACGTCACTCTCAAATGCCTTGTAGAAGCAGAAAAGCATAAAGTACAGCTAGTATTAAAAAAATGCACTGCAACATGGAAGGAGTAAATACTAAGAAATTAGAACTAGAAAACACCTTTAACGAGAATTCAGAGAAACAGCAAGAGGTTTAAGAGAATCAGCAGCACATAAGACACATGATATAATTTCTAAGGCATTGGTGGTGACACTTACGTCTAGCAAGCTAGAGTTAGCAATATCAAAGCTGAGAATGGGAAAGTAACCTGGAATTGAAAAGAATAACCAACGAAATGATCAGGAACCTTGGAACAAGTTAGTTGTGTATCCTTTACAGGACGTTTCAGAACCAACCCCAGCATTTTTTGGCTGTTGTGGTTTTCCTACGTCAAGTTTACATCCAGTAGTTTGCCATTGCTTTCTGGACTGTCGACTTCTCAATACCACTGTCGAAACCAATGCAAGGCGCAAGGCCCCGCAGCTGGAATCGAACCCGGCACCCTGACATTACAGACAAAACATAAAAAGCTGAAGTAGATCTTTAATCATTGTTGGATCAGTGGCAAAGTTCCCCAGATATGGAGAGAAGCAGTCACGATATCTCTCCTTAAATCCAGGAAAGAACAGTTCTGATGTCTCCAGCTATAGACCAATCAGCCTTACCAGCTGTCTCTGTAAAACAGTGGAACGCATTGTCAACCTTAGACTCCAGTGGTACTTGGAAATTAAAACATCTTCATGTGGCAGCAGGCAGGCATTAGACAGTGCTACTCCACATAAAATTAGAGAACTTATTGTTTTACAAGAAATTGAGGGTGCCTTCCAGGAACATAAGCTGGTGCAAGGGATGCGGATAGATCTGAAGAAAGCCTTTGACAAGGTCTGGAAAGGATTTCTCATGAAGAAACTGAGAAACTTCAAAGTGAATGGGAATATGTACAGATGGATGAAATCATATTTGTATAACAGAACAGCCTGAGTACAAATAGACAGACTCAAGAACAAGAAAGTTTTGCTGCGCCATGTCAGCAAGGAGGTGTCCAGTCCACCATGTTCTTTCAAATCTATATCAATGACCTAGTTTCTGAACTAACCCATGGAATTAAGGTTGCAGTTTATGCTGATGACTTGGTAATGAGGTGTACAAATGAATATGCAACAGTGGCCACTAGACTGGTATAAAGAGCCATAGATGCAATAGCTGCATGGGCTGATAATGGCACATTAGCATAAATATAAGCAAATGTAGCAGCACCCCCTTCAACCTCTCTCCGAAACAAAAAATCCAGCATCATCCACATAAACTGAGTACCTCGAAGAGAGGATAAGGAGCCCACATACCTGGGAGTCAGGTATGACGATAGGTTAACATGGAGAAAACACATCAACAAGGCAGCAACAAAAGCCAGAAGGAGGGTGGCAATCCTGAGAAAACTAAGTGGAACCACGTAGTGTAATAGTGGGAAAATACTTAGGAAATTTTACCAACAAAGTGTTCGACCACACCTTGAATATGAATCGACAGCATGGAGTTCAGCATCAAAGACCAGACTACAAGAATTAGACAAAGTGCAAAATCAAGCACTCAGAGTTACAACAGGCAGTATGAAATATGCTTAAAAAATCCTAGCTGGATTTATCAGGCAAGAATGGATTGAAACACCAAGCACTTCACAAAATCTGCCCTAACCTTCATCTTTGTGCAAGGTCATGCTGGTGTTCAAGGAAACGAGCGTGCAGACTATCTTGCTGACACTGCAGTTGCTATGGCTGGCTCCAGTACTGGACAGAAGTGATGTTATCAATGCCATGCGCTGCACTTACCGTACCGAGGAGCAAGCCAAAGGACATGACTGCATATCCCTGTTTAGACTAATGGACATGGGGGTGCAGCCTGTAGCTGCAAGAAATGAACATTTCACTAACAAGATGTTTCATTAACCAACACAGAACAGGCGTCATCAGTCGTTTTACACTTGTGGAGCTTTTGAGGAGATCGGAGCACCTATGGATCTGTCCGGAGTGCTGTGATGATAATCCTTTCTAAACACAGGCAGTATGAAATTAACACCAAAAGCTGTGATGAAAAAAACGGGGATGACCGAAGCACCGAGTGAATGCAGAGACACCAAGATGCTAATACAAGCAGACATGTTTCTTAGCCTGTCTAGTCACCCTATGAATGAAAGATTAAAAAATCTAGCTATGGGGTGACTAAAAAGAAGCAGTTTCATCCACAGGCCAAACGATTCTGCAGAAAAACGCTGATCTGCCTGCAACTGAGAGCCTCTTAAATGCTGTTCCAGAATGGACCCCTGGAGAGAGGAGTATACGCTTCAGTCTACCTGATGATGAATACCTGCAGAATCTTTGGGTAAGTGTTTACACAGTTAGATCAGCACAAAATACAACCAGAAACAGAGGAGCAGGAGTTTACACTGAGCACCCTCATAATACCAGACTTACAGCCAAAATACCAACAGAAAAGCATTGACACAACTATGATGCATAAATTCAAGCCATGCAGACAGATAGGTATGCAGACAGATAGGCATGCAGACAGATAGGCATGCAGACAGATAGGCATGCAGATAGTTAGACAGACAGATAGACATGCAGACAGATAGGCATGCAGACAAATAGTTAGGCAGATAGACAGGCATGCAGACAGATAGTTAGGCAGATAGATAGGCATGCAGGCAGAAAGTTAGGCAAATAGATAGGCATGCAGATAGTTAGACAGACAGATAGACATGCAGACAGATAGGCATGCAGACAAATAGTTAGGCAGATAGACAGGCATGCAGACAGATAGTTAGGCAGATAGATAGGCATGCAGACAGATAATAAGGCAGACAGATAGACATGTAGACAGATATATAGGCAGGCGGAAAGTTAGGCAGACAGACAGGCAATTACTGAGGGAGAGAGATAGGCAGGCAGACAGACAGACAGGTGGGCAATAAGATAATCACTCAGGTAGGCAGGCAAAGAGTTTATGGCTCAGGCAAACCGAAATAACCATTGTAAAACCCAGACTTGACCTTACCCCCTTCTCTTCAGACAGCACAAGAGCAAGCCGAAGAGCAGTGTTACAACAGCAAGGATGGCAACGACTCCTATGGCTGTTGCCACGTCATGACCTGTGTTAGAAGACAAATGTAGAATTAAGTAAGAATCGACATTACAGCACTCGGGACAATCCCATAAGCATTTACTTCCCATCTTCACCAGCAAGTGCAGAGTTCCAGCTGCGATGGCACCAGTAAGAGTCTGATTGCATCTCCTTTTCGCCTTTCCCCTGAGCGTTGAACATCAGCCAGATCCCCTGATCATTCACCCTACACCGTTCTCCGGTGCTTTATTTATATCCTACCCCGGATGACGTCACAGGACAGTCCAACATTTTAGAGGGTGGTAAGACTGGGTTTCATGGCTTTCTGAAGCTTTTAACTGACCCAAAACATATAGAAACGGCCCTAACCCCAACCCACCTACGTCCCATGACAGAGTGCAGCCTAGGTCCCACGACTGCATGCAGCGTCTCTACCACCTCCTGAAATATAAGACTGTCCCGTGACCTGTGGATTTCTCCTGTTTTTGGGTAAGATCTCCATAAAGCACCCAATTCTCCTCTGACCATGATGATCTGCACTGTTCGCTCACTCCCAATGGACCCTTACAACAACTAGCTTGTAAAATGCACCCATTCACTGTTTTTAGACAATAGTGACTGAGTTAATATCTCCAAGTATAAGAGTGAGACCATCTTTATTGCATAGGATTTCATCCAAACATCTAAGACCTAAAGCAGGTGGCGACGAACCACCAGATATGGGGAGAGCTATGACCTCTGCCCTATGCACCGCCCTAGGCTCAAGAGGAAAGGCTAATAAGGTTTCATTCCATCTGGCTGGATTTCAATGTGGTGAACAGCTTGCAACCAGCCACTAGCGTGTCAGATGTTTAAAAAACAAACAATAGCCGCACTTTGCTATCTCCAACAAGGATTCCTAGGATACTCTGCAAAACTGCTATCAGAAGCGAACATGTTTCCCAAATGACCACCTGAGCGTCAGGAAGTGGAGTAGGCGGCCTGACCATTCAGTCATGACCACCCTCTCCGCGTTCAGCTGTTGAAAACTCCGGCGGAAAGTTCTGGTCATTCGTTCACTTCAAGACTTTAGTCTTGTTCCAGAACTTGAGTTTTGCGTGCACATATCTAGCTTATTTGTATACAGACTGTTGCTTTCTTGCCTCTCAGTCACACACAAACAAACAAAAATCAGTACAGTTTCCCTCTTTTTTTTCTTCTTCTTCTTCTTGTGTTCACCGGCTGTAAACTCCAGAATAAGTTCTGGTTGTTCGTAACCTTCTGGACTCTTATCCTGTCCGAGAACCTGAGTGTTTGGTGCACATCCGTTTTACAGAAGACCAAACACCTTTTTACTTCAACACTTTCTACCAAAGAGTGTACGTACTTTAGACCCACTGTATCTGGGTCTCAGTGCATTAGTTTCAGAAATATGAACAAGATGAAGTAGCCACTGCATCAGACACAATGAATGTTTCGGAAGAGCTGGACAGTAGTTACACGGGGTGGGTTATATAAAGACCAGAAGTGGGCAACCCACCCCCTTCCACCCCCCCCCCTTTGTTTTCGGTCCATGGGCCAACTTTATAAATACCAACCTCTTGTGGGATACTGCATTTTTGTTTCTATCTATAAACATGCCGCCAAGAGAAAAAGACAGGTCGTCGCTTTAAATCAGATTATCAAAATCCGCCGACAGACACTTTCTCCTACTAATGTTTTAGTTTGCCCGCAACACGTGTTTCACTCGCAGGATCAAGGATTTGGCGACACTTTTTGCAAACAAAAAAAAAATTCATTGTTACATGTTTTTTTGCTAAATGGAGAGATTATATAGTAATTTTACACCAGCCTCGTGGGCCAGTATAAATTTCTCGGCGGGCCAGAAATGGCCAAATCCACAGCTTTAGAGAGCGTTGATCCTGCACATTCTTCCCTCTGGCACTCCGCAATTTTAACTTCCTGGTTGTCTTTACTGTTTTGTCAGCCATATTTCCCACCCGCATTTTCTGACCAACACTGTTCGCTTTTACTATTTCTGAGTCCGAAGAAGCTCAGCACAGTGCACATGCTCTGTAGCGCCGGCGGAGATCCTGAAATACTTTAGGTAAATTTTTTAATTTCGCCGTTAGGCTACTCTTTTCGGAGAGTCGCCGTTGCCGAGCGGCTAGACGCTCGCCGCGGATTGGAAGGTCGTGGGTTCGCTCCCTAGCGGAGCCGGACTTTTTTTTTAAAAATGACCTTGGCTCCAAGGTCGACCCTGCCTTCAGTTTGTACCGGGTGCAGTTCCTGGAAAGTAAAGGCGTCCGGCGGTATATTGACCACATCACCCATCTTGTGCCGATTGGTCTATAAAAATATAGGTCTAGCCCTATACGCCTAAAGGCGTGGAAAAGGGTCCTTTAGTTTGCTATTCTTTTCGATTTCCAATTGCCATGGGATTTTATACGCGCACACAGGCGTCCGATCTCACTACCAAGAAACCAGGGGGGGGGGGGGGGGGGGGCCTGACACCATGCATTGAGACCATGATGCCCCCCTTACTTCTATTTAAATGGTGCCGCCTTAGAATAGTGTCCATGTATACAGCTGAACATGCCGAAATAGAGTCTTGACTGTTTTTATTTAAACCTTTCTAGGCACGATTTCGGATCTAGTAAGCAACATGTATATGAAGAATCCCCGTGGGGGTTCCAGGACCCCGTTGTGGGGGAAGGCAAAAACAGACTCACAGCCTTCTCCAAAATTCATATCGAAAGACTTTCTTCGAAGTCGGAGTACATCTATCTGACAGGCAAGGAACAGAAGTCTGCATACAAAGAAGTCATATCTGTGAAACGGATGTGCACGCAAAACTCAACTTCTGGAAGAAGACTAAAGTCCAGGGGTGGATAAATAATAAGAACTTTCTGTCGCAGTCTACAACCGGTGAACGCAGAGAAGAAGGAGAACACGAGTCGTACTCACCCCCATTGGCATGCGCTGAAGTGGTCTGATACGGCTGGGAAGAGTTAGTTGAAGTCTCGTTTGATGGCGTTGATAGCAACGTGTAGACACTTGCAGTTGAGCTGTCTAATGGTGCTGACGTTGCTGTATTTGTTTCACCAGTGGCAGTAGACGAAATGTTCGGTTCCTGACTGCTGGGGGAATTACTGTGTTCGTCAACGTCTCTAGTTTCAATGTGCAAAACCCGTGTCTCTGTTTCGAACTGCAAAGGATATGCCATATTTCTGTGTTCACTAGCTACTTGCAGAAGTCACTGCTGAACTGAGTGGCGCAGGTTTCAGGTGACAAACCATTTACTGGCTCATCTGAGATGCTCAGTTTGTTATACCCGGTCTTTGTAGTATGTTAGAAGAGAGGCTGTGGGAAAAATTTAAATGTTTAATATTGAATACAAATAATCGCAAAATAGCCAATTAATCCTTCAAGTCTTAGTTCTGTCTAAAATGTTGTTATTGAAACTAACAAATGTGAGGTCTAGAGAAATAACGAACTTATTGAGAAAAAAACTGTTAAAATAAGTTCGGATAAATACAGTGGGTAAACGTAACAATTAGTTAGGACACACAGAATTAGGGAAAGTATCTCATGTATAGAATTACAAAAACATTCACGGCGAGCTGCTTAACACAGAAATATTTTAATGCGAAAATTGTCAAATGTTATGTAAACTCAACCCTGCAGTATGGTGTAGAAACTGGGATAGTGAACAAGCAACTGGAAAGCCGAATAGCGCTTTTGGAAATGTGGATTTATTGTCTGTTAGTTGGCATCTTTTCGTGTTCCCAAATGCGCTTAGCTGTCCTAAACCTTTGGCACACTTTGGGATGTAAGGTTGGGAACATGCTGATCAAATGTAGCGCTAACTAAGAACAGGTACTGACTTCTGTTATACGGTAGTTCAGTCATATCTGACCTTTACCATGGAAACAAAATTGGTCAAATACAGCAGAATGTTGAATTAAGAATCGACATCACGGCACTCTGGAAATCCTCATAAGCGCTCCACCTCATCTTCAGCAGCAAGCAAAGTGTTCCAATTCCGATGGCACCAGTAATTGTCTGATTGTATATCTTGTCTCGCCCTTCACTTGAATGTTGAGCGTCAGCAAGATCGCCTGGTAACTCCTCGCAGCGCCATTCTCCTTAGACCGTAAAGATCTATTTGGGCGTCCGCACTGTTCACTTGCTCCTACAAGGCCCTCACAATATTAGCTTGGATCAAATACAGTATAAAGATTCTAAAGAGTCCACAAATTAAATTAAAGTTTCTGAAATAAAATAAAAAAAAAAAAAACAAAAAAAAAAAAAAAAAACAGGCAAGTGACATATTCTGCAACATTAAAAGACATAAGCAAGATTAAAGGATAATTTGCCACGCCTTCACGCATGTGAGGCATATTGGGATAGAACTATATTATATAGACCAATCGGCACTAGGCTGGTAATGTAATCAACACCACGCTGACCGTCTTTACTCCTGGTGGGAGCCAAGGTTATTTTTGACGTAGGTCTGGATTCGAACCCACAACCTTCTAATCCGCAGACGGGCGACTAGCCGCTACACCAGAGAGGCTCTTACCAACATAACACTCTTAAAAATACCAAAGTAAAAAAAAAAAAAAACAAAGGCAAGAGAACACGATGTAGACAGCGATACATATGGTAGGACATCATCAAGAGGGGTCAAATGTTAATCGGCCTCAGGTTGGAATCCCGAGCAAGGCGGATTGTTTACAAAATTGACATTGTCTTCCAGGTTGACCCAGCCAAAAATAGGTACACTGAAATGTCATGGGAAGAAAAGACAACCAGCGTTACAATTACCACCTCATCCACCGAGCTGCGATCAGGCATATGGGAACAGCACCCCATATTGTTTACAGACAAAATGGCGCTAGGTGGGTTATGTGGTCAGCATTACGCCGTAACCGATCCTGTGCCAGCGGAAATCACATAAAATGTCCTTTACTGTCCCATTTGAAAACTAGTGAAAGACCTGTCAACCCCAGCAAAATCTTGAAGCTGGCACACGCAAGGTAAATGCAGATGTCGAAGTCAGATGTGCTAGCACTATCATTCTCCCATTCAAAACTGCAGCTTCCTGATGATGCCAGCAGTCAGTTAGAAAAGCTGGCATTGTACACGCAAAACTGCATAAGTATAGGCCATTTGGAACGTAATTAACCGGCGGCCATTTTTAGTTCAGTTCACAACACAAAGCCGTCGCGGACACACATACACAGATCACACACAAATACACCACCTGAAATCCACAGCTCACAGTGTCGCACCAAGCACTCAGCTCCGTAGCTGGGGAGAGAATAGTTGGACTGCCAGTTCAGAAATATTAAATTTGCAAATCAGCAAACCCTGACTAGAAATAAATATTATTTTAGAGCGTCAGCGGTAAGAGGGCGATCTGCCATATTGGACAAGAAGTCTGCAACTGATCTACATAAATACGAGTCTAGCATCATATGCCCACTGAGCCATTCATTTACAATGGGTGTCATTTGCTTTACTTTGTACGCCTAATAATAAATAACATGTGTCCATAATCTCTCTCTGACTGTAGGCAATCAATAAAACGTGTACTTATTCACTGCTTCGTCTAGGCCATTAACTGTCGAAGTAATACATTAACTATTTTAGTATCTTCTTCTTCTTCTTCTTCCTCCTCCTCCTCGTCCTCTTCTTCTTCTTCTTCTTCTTCTTCTTCTTCTTCTTCTTCTTCTTCTTCTTCTTCTTCTCTTCTTCTTCCTCCTCCTCCTCCTCCTCTTCTTCTTCTTCTTCTTCTTCTTCTTCTTCTTCTTCTTCTTCTTCTTCTTCTTCTTCTTCTTCTTCTTCTTCTTCTTCTTCTTCTTCTTCTTCTTCTTCTTCTTCTTCTTCTTCTTTTTCTTCTTCTTCACTTCCTCTTTTACCGCTGTGGGTGTCGAGGGAAATATAAGGTTCTGTCTCTAGCTTTTCTGGCCGCCTCGACCATAGGCACATCGTGCTGTTATAGAGTTTCTCTGATGTTATCCTTCTATTTTGTTCTTGGTCTACCTCGTGCTCTACGTCCTTCTCTTTCCATGTATGCTTTGTATGGTATGGTGTCACAAGGCATTCTCTCTAAGTGGCAAAACCATTTCACCTGCTGTCTTCGTATGTAATTTAGAATTGGTTCTGTGTCGACTTTTTCTCTTATGATCTCATTCCTGATCTTATCTCTTATGGTCACTCCTACAGTCCTTCTCAGACATCTCATCTCCATGATGGTTACTAATTTTCTTTTATGGTTTGTTGTGAGTGACCATGTCTGGCACTGGTAGCACAGAGTTGGAATAAATATGCTTTGAATAAGATGTCTCTTTGTGCTGATTGGGATTGTCTTATGCTGTAAGAGGGGGGCTAGCTGTCCCAATACTTGGTTTGCTTTACTGCATCTAATGTTAATTTCTTTATCTAATTTCCCATCTTCGGTAAATGTAGTTCCCAGATATTTAAACTCAGATGCTTCGTACCTTCGCTGGCTGTAAAGCTTCCAGCGATGTTTTGTAGGTAGCCACAGTTGCTGCTGATGTTGGGTGTGAGGCAGTGGTTAATGTAAGCTTATGGCGCTGTAAGGCGTTTAGTTTAGTTTAGTTTAGTTCGCTGGGTTATCATTATTGCACTCCGGACATGTCCTCCCCTCAGTAGGAAACCCAGCGCCCGGTGGCTAATAGTACCAGTTTTATGTGGATTAACAAGTCCTCTGGTGAGCGTCTCGTTTTGTGGCTATGCCGATCTTAACTCCAAAGTCTATAATTCTGGTGAGTGATGTGGATTCACTGCCCTCAAAGTCCTCTAGCTTTCTCATTTCTCGGAGGGCATTAATAATATATTTTGTTTGCCACATGCTTCGTTAATATGCATTTCTGTAACGTACGGCGCCATTTCAATGGATTGAAATGAATTCTGTCCGTATTCCATAGTTCTGGATTTTAAGCTGTACGATAGGTATGGCCAATAATACACCTTTTTTGGGAGGTGCCTAGTTGACCATGTTCTTAAGGCGCTTGTTTCCATAGCGAGGCGCAAACGCCGTCTGGGGGTGACAGGTTCGATTTCCGGCAAGGTAACTATAACTTTCGATTTTTATGTTGTCTATTGTGTTCTTCTATCTTTTTTCCTTTTTTTCTATGAGTGCCGATCAAAACATTTTCTGTTATTTTATTAATAACATCAGCATGATCTATAGGTTGACCGTCGGTAGTGACAGCGAATCCAGCCAACCTTTAACTCTTTCATTTCCATCGACGCCTGTATGTCCCGGCACGAAAATAAAGGTTAGTTTACGCACAGTAAACTTCTGCAATGATTCAAGCTATTGCCTTCTCACTAAACCTGCATCAACCTCCGGATCATACCCATTAAATCACTGAGTACATATGCATGGGTATAATTTAGTGTTTTGAGCCACGCGAACACTTGCATTAATGCCATCACCTCCATCGTCATGCTGCTGGTTGTCACAGAGGAGGCGCCGTTGGCTTCATTGACTGTTCTGCCCGTTGAGCGAGCTGTGAACGCCCATACACTTCTTTGTTGGCGTATAACGGATTCGTAAGTGTTGACCAGTAGTACATCTGTCTCGTCTAGATTTACACTGAAGAGAGCGTTTACTTCTGCATTGACAGCAGCAGGATTCTGTTTCCTGCATCGCCAGGTGAGTGTGGCAGTACAGGAAAATGTACAAATAAACGCATGAGGCACGAGTATCCAGTCTGCTCCATGGGTGATGTCGGTTAGGCTGCATATTTTCTTGATAACATCTACTGCCCGACATAGCCAAGATGTTTCCCTCTTCAGTTTGCGTTTCTTATTGTCAGATATTTTAAGGTATGACCATGCCCTCCAGATCCTGATCCTTTGGTTCATAGTCGGAAAGTCAAGTAGATATCTCACCACTGCACAGGAAGTATCCCTTGTACATACCAAAATAATGCGCATGCCTTTATTTTTCACCCTTTTAAAGTCGTTCAGTCTAAGTAGCACTGACGGTGAGGATGCTAGAGCATATTTAACGGGGGAAAAGGACCAGCCCGTAGAACAGAAGTATTAGTATTTGCTAGATATTGGAAGCAGCCATAACCCCCCCCCCCCCCCCCCCCCCACTGCAGATAGACCTTGGCGTGGTTTCGTTGTCACATGGCCAACATGTTCCCTGAATGACAAATTGTACTTCAGTTATAAAGGATT